AGAGAGAGAGAGAGATGGGGGGAGTCCCAAGGAAAATCCCACGATGGTTTCTCTCTGATGTGACTCTCGGCGCGGAGAGGCTGTGTAAGGTTTACAATCTAACTTTGTACAATAATCCTCATAAAAACCAATCCCCAAAAGGTGCCAAGATTCAGCACCTTTTCTGGAAGAACAGCTCCCCTCCATTACTTTTCTTTTTTTCAGATTGACTTAAGCACATTCAGTCATCACAGTCAGTGCAATCACCACATCAGTTTACTGTAGCACAACATTTCCTCTGTCCCTTATCTAACTTTGTATTATAATGTGTAACACTGACATCCAGAGACCTCCAAATAAAATGTTGAATCTGGTATATGCAGAGGTGGAAGAAGTGTTCAGATCTTTTACTTAAATAAAAGTAGCAATTCCACTGTGTAAAAATAAAGCAAGTAAAAGTCCTGCACTCAGATAGATTTAGTCAATATTAAAAATGAAGGTAAAAAATAGATATACTTCTAGATAAAAGAAAACATTATTGACTTCAATGAATACTAAGTAATTTTACTATTGATTGCAGGTATTTTATACAGTGGTGTGTGTTTTAAGGTTTTTTTAAAGTCAATAATAAGTTTATTCTAACACATAAAGTCACTCTGAATTACATTTTTGTAGAGCATGAAAAAAAAGGCCTATTCTGTCCTCTCTACAGCTTGACAGCAGAATGCTACTGCTTAATCTGAATACCCCCTGAAAATCTGAAGAACCATCTTTATTAGCCATTTATATTTAAACATAACAAATCTGAGTCCTGCCCTCAGTAGCTCTCAGTATATTTATATGTTGCTAAGGATATATGTGCAGGAATATACACACATAAATAAATCTAAACAAAGACAACAAAGAAAAGTATAAAGATATAACAACAAATAGCGAATACAATATATAGGTAAAATTTGTTGTGCTGTATGTTGTTATGTACTGATCTAATGATGGAAGAGTCCTCTGGGTGTGCAAAGAAAGCTGGAATAAATATTAAGTCTTAATGAATCATGTGAAGTTACTTAATATTGGCACTGATGATATTTACAGACAAAAAAATGTCATCAGTGCTCTGCCCTGTCTCTGAAACAGCTGCCTTTCCTTGATGGAGAAAAATATTCAACACCAGCTGGTGTCAATCAGCTAGGAGAATTTACTATAAATTCATCCATTCATCTGCAGATTAGATTTGTGTAAATCAAATCTGTTATTCCACCACATCTCCCACCACTGGGCCACGCGGGACTCGTTGGAGATTGGACAAAGGTAAATGCAGCAGTGGCTGTTTGTTAATATTTGCTATCGTTAATATCGGGGACAATACAGAACAATACTATTGCATAGTAATGATCTAGTTATTAAAGCTCTGTCTAAGTGTTGAAGACGCAACTGTTGTTTCTGGATGGGGCCCCAGATTGGTGGTATGCAGCAGGGAGGGGTTGGGCCAACAGTTGCTCCATGTGGAGGGCACACTGACAGCAATATCAAGGACAGAGGCCACGAGTATAAAGCCTTTGTCACCCTCGAATTCCATTTTTACCCTCAGTGTCATTAATCTGGTGTTTTGAGTTGTGGTGGAGTATATT